ATGAAGACTAGTTCAGTGTGGACCAGGTATCCTTCATGATGTGCATGAGCCTCAGGGATAATGTGGAAAGCCACATTGTATACAACAAATTAGGACTAATCGATGCCACCCCTCATGTTTTCATAACAAGCTAGCACGGGAAGGATGCACTGAATATCAATCCATAACAAAAGCGGTTGGAAGTCAGAATGAGGTCACCTGCATTCTGCAGGTATATGCAGTGGAGACTGTTCTGCCAAGGTTGGTTTGTGTCCCTTTAAACAGTTCTGCTAGTTTACAGTTACACTGTTAACTCGCACAGCTATACTGCTAGTTTACAGTTATACCGCTAGGTTACAGTTATACAGCTAGCTTACAGTTATACCACTGATTACAGTTGTACTGCTAGTTTACAGTTATACCGCTAGGTTACATTTATACAGCTAGTTTACAGTTATACCACTAGGTTACAGTTGTACTGCTAGTTTACAGTTACACTGTTAACTCGCACAGCTATACTGCTGGTTTACAGTTATTCTGCTAGTTTACAGTTATACCGCTAGGTTACAGTTATACAGCTAGTTTACAGTTATACCACTAGGTTACAGTTGTACTGCTAGTTTACAGTTATACCGCTAGGTTACATTTATACAGCTAGTTTACAGTTATACCACTAGGTTACAGTTGTACTGCTAGTTTACAGTTATACCGCTAGGTTACAGTTATACTGCTAGGTTACAGCTATACTGCTAGTTTACAGTTATACTGCTAGTTTACAGTTATACCACTAGGTTACAGTTATACCGCTAGTTTACAGTTATACTGCCAGGTTACAGTTATACCGCTAGTTTACAGTTATACTGCTAGTTTACAGTTATACCGCTAGTTTACAGTTATACCGCTAGTTTACAGTTATACCAGTAGTTTACAGTTATACTGCTAGGTTACAGTTATACCGCTAGTTTACAGTTATACCAGTAGTCATGGTAGTTTAGTTATACTGCTAGTTTACAGTTATACCGCTAGGTTACAGTTATACTGCTAGTTTACAGTTATACTGCCAGGTTACAGTTATACCGCTAGTTTACAGTTATACCGCTAGTTTACAGTTATACCGCTAGTTTACAGTTATACTGCTAGTTTACAGTTATACTGCTAGTTTACAGTTATACCGCTAGGTTACAGTTATACTGCTAGTTTACAGTTATACTGCCAGGTTACAGTTATACCGCTAGTTTACAGTTATACCAGTAGTCATGGTAGTTAACAGTTATACTGCTAGTTTACAGTTATACTGCCAGGTTACAGTTATACTGCCAGGTTACAGTTATACTGCTAGTTTAGAGTGCTTGTTTACAGAGAGAGACAGTATGGAGAGAAAGATGGATGGAGGGAGGGAAGGAAGACAGCTGGTAGCTGGCTGGGAATTGTGCCTCAGTTTCACTTTATCACCAATTACTTGTATCAACAAGTAGTTACAGCTGCTGTAAACATGTTGTAGTTTGAAGGGGGACTTTGTGGAGAAGAGGTAGGGCTGGTTATAAAGGAAGTGCAAGATTTGATCTAAATAATGGCTCAGTTGTCCTCGGTGACACAATTTGTTGTGCAGAGTTGCATCCCTTGTGCACTCCAGAAACCTATGATCGTGGTTTCGAATCTCAGTTCACCCCGATTATGTTTCTAGGTTTGTTGGCACCATATACATTCTCATTGGTTTCACCAAAGTAAACATCTAAGACCTGCATCACTTCGGGATTTCCTCCCACATTAAGATGACACGCCATGATTGAACTTGAATACTGTTCATAGCGTCATTGAACCCGATTTACCCATTTATTGTCTATAAATAAGGTGAGTTATTAATGAAACATAAACAGGACTTTTTGAGGATGTTCTGAGGATGAAGGAGAGAGTGGAACAGGGGGTGTTCTGTGGATGAAGGAGAGAGTGGAACAGGAGGAGGTGTTCTGTGGATGAAGGAGAGAGTGGATCAGGAGGAGGTGTTCTGTGGATGAAGGAGAGAGTGGATCAGGAGGAGGTGTTCTGTGGATGAAGGAGAGAGTGGAACAGGAGGTGTTCTGTGGATGAAGGAGAGAGTGGAACAGGAGGAGGTGTTCTGTGGATGAAGGAGAGAGTGGAACAGGAGGAGGTGTTCTGTGGATGAAGGAGAGAGTGGAACAGGAGGTGTTCTGTGGATGAAGGAGAGAGTGGAACAGGAGGTGTTCTGTGGATGAAGGAGAGAGTGGAACAGGAGGAGGTGTTCTGTGGATGAAGGAGAGAGTCGAACAGGAGGAGGTGTTCTGTGGATGAAGGAGAGAGTGGAACAGGAAGTGTTCTGTGAATGAAGGAGAGAGTGGAACAGGAGGAGGTGTTCTGTGGATGAAGGAGAGAGTCGAACAGGAAGTGTTCTGTGGATGAAGGAGAGAGTGGAACAGGAGGTGTCCTGTGGGTGAAGGAGTGTGCGGGAGGAGTACTACAGGGTTGTTGTATATGAGCGGTGTTTTCATCATTATTCAGTTCTTGTGCAGTCTATTTTCAGTATGTTTGTTTTATCTTCCAAGAGTTCTTTTTTTAAGAATATTAGGTTTCAAATTAAAAGGTAATTATTTGTTGGGTGTAAACTAGGCTGATTCTAGTGTTCTACTGCTAGTCTGCTAGGAGTTTTTTAAGGTTCTTGAGTATCACATCAGTATGTTTTCTGAATGCTTACAATCGTTTGACCTTATGCTGGGGACTGACGTGATCAAGTACTCCTCGGGGAGTCTCAATGTGTATAATGTGGTTCTTTGTTTACTATATTTGTATCAAGATATGGTAATTCAAACAAAGTGTGTGAATATTTACCTGTCTATCCACCTTTCCCACAATTCTTTCAGCATCTAAGAAGAACAAACAGTTTAAGCTTTTGGCCTTTCTTAAATTTGACATTGGTGTAATATTTCGTCTATGTGTATCAAGTTCCAGTTAATTATTCTGATGGGTAGCAAATGTGCATCCTGATAAACAGAGACACTATCCGTTCAGAACTACAGTTTGCACTAAAGTGTAAACCGAAGGTTACACTGAAATACATAATTGTCAATTTTTAAAATGTGAGAGTTTGAACTTCACCTTGTTTGCAGGGTAATCTGACAAACACCTGGCTTGCGTTTACAGTAAATGATTTGCACTTGTATCCCACTGCCAGGCATTGTTACATTGTCACTTGCATGTGGGAATAACACCAGTATTGCCCGTTATTTTGTTGTTGATATTTTAAGTATCACTTTACAGGTGACAATAGCCCCAGTAGTCCAGGTGAACTTGACGGCCTAGTTTACTGTGAGTGGGTGTGAGATGAGAAGAAATCGTATGTTTCAACACAAATGTGAAAGAATGGATACAAGTGTTATGACAGAGATGTAAACATGAACTTCTTTGCTGCCAGATCAAAATTGGTCTGTATTGGTGGCAGCCTGAGGACATGACTGACTGATACGGAATGTTACACCACCCCGTCATGTCCTACTGGGTGGATCACTGTGATAACTGCTGGTGTTTGCGTTGTGATTTTGGCAGCAATATAGAGGTAAAAAGGGGAAACCAAAGTCAACAGTCCTGTAGCAGGCTAGTGAAGTAAAGTTGGGATTCAGTGGGACCGGTAGGATTTGGCAGAGATTTACTCTCATATTTTATCCTTGGTTCCCCCACCCAGTGTATCAGACCTGCAAATTGGGCATTTCAGTTCTATTCTTGAAAACCAATATTTTGTAAACTTTTGTTTTGTTTCTAGTGCGTGAGACAATGTTGTAAGTCAAAATGAAAGAAGACCCATGATGAAAAAGGACTGGGGAGAGTTTTTGTGTGTGACTGAAACCCTTAGCAAAGATGATTCTACATTGGGCCTTTTTAGGCCTTGTTCTGACAGGTAACTGGGGGCTTATCAGGAATGAAGATCACAGTATTTGCATCGTTGCAGCCTGATTAGCTTGATCTGTATTGATGTTTAAGAAATCAGAAGTTGTTATCAGCACAGACTTCCATTCAGTTTACTAACCTTAAAAGTGAGATATATCACATGTGGCCAAAAGTCTGTATTCTGGTCTACAAGATCTCTTGCTGAACTGTTGCTAATCATGTGACATAGGACATGCTGCTGGGTAGAGACACTGCAACATATCTGCACACTGCTTGACACCAGTTCTCTGTCAGTGACCAGCTGGTAACTGGGGTATGTACATCGTGTGGACTTTGTGTCCTTCTTGAGGATACTACAACTGTGGATACAGATACATATCTAGATCAGTTGAGTTTTAGGGTCGCCATTTTGTCCAGTGTGTTTCCCTTGCCACGTGATCAGCAACTGGAGCCGATAAATCTGTATTGGTCAAAGGAGCCATAACTCCCATTAATCACAGCAGAGTTGTGTCCCTTAGATGACCAGATTTGTAGGTGTTCAAGATTCAAATTCTCCCATATGATTGTCGACTCAAGGCTTTTCCATGATGTGAGGACCATAATCTGTTGATGCTATTTGAGGGGATAGTTGAGTGGTTTGGCTAGTCTTGCTGAAGACCTGGGTTTGATTCCCAAACTTAGTACCATGTGAAGCCCATTCAGGTGTCCCTGCCATCATATTGATGGGAGATTGGTATACAACCATATTCACTAACAAATAACTTTCCTTCTGAAATTAGACCTGTGAAGATTCCGGGGTAGAATAGGTCTTCAGCAAACCTTGCTTGCCGTAAAAGGTGACTATGCTTGTCGTAAAAGGCGACTTACGGGATCTGGTGGTCAGGCTCGCTGACTTGGTTGAAGCATGTCATCGATCCCAATTGCGTGGATCGATGCTCATGATATTAATCACTGGATTGTCTGGTCCAGACTCAATTATTTACAGACCGCCGTCATATAGCTGGAATATTGCTGAGTGCGGCGTTAAACAACAAACCAAGCAACCAACCCTCTTAAATTAAACTGACACACTTAGATATGACTGAAACAATTATTTGTTTTAAACCTACTTCGTCTTGTTTCAGATACACAAAGCCTCAGACATTTGCAGACTGTGTTGGAGATGAACTACCCATTGGCTGGGAGGAGTCATATGACCCCAATGTGGGAATATACTACATCAATCATATAAATCGTAAGTTTCGATAGTTGAATGATAAAGATAACAGTGTGTCATAGAAACAGTTTTTGTCAGGCCACCGTTCAAGCTGAAGCCACTGTTTCAAACTATGAGACATGAAGTCACCACTTGGCTCCTCACGAATAGTGATAGTATTTCAATGAAGACTCTTTCATTGTTAAAATTGCCTTACTTATCCTCTTGTATACTACTCCACTTTTGATAGGGACATTTCTGTATTTCCATTTCCGATTCTCATGATGTCAAGTGTATATTTAGATATATCTGAAATCTGATTATCCCTATCTAAACTTGAGTAGTATCCTTAGAAACAGTGTGATAAGTAAAGCAGTTTTTGTTTGAGTCGTATACATGTGAATGACAGAAAGGACATCAACATAGCCACTTAATTTTAAGTTCTTTAGATATTTCAGTTGCTGTTCCATGTCACGAATGATACTTAAACATTTTGACACTGATGCCTTTTGGCTCCGAGTTACTTGTATGAACAAGGAAGGCTGCCCTTGATTCTGGAGTTAGTTTTTGGAGTTGCAGCAAGTTGTCCAAAATAAGGAAAACATTTGATTGGACAGAATCAGTCCCCAGTGCCTCATACTTGGCATAAGAGCTGACTGAAATCCATTGATTAGACATGGCTGATTGCGTGTCATGATGGTCATCGAAGTCTGATGATGTTGTTTGCCTGGTCCAGAATTGATAATTTCACAATTACATGACTGTCTGACCCGTGAAGACCTGGGGTAGTATAGGTCTTCAGCAACCCATGCTTGCCGTAAGAAGCGACTAATGGGATCAGGTGGTTAGGTTCGCTGACTTGGTTGATGCATGTCATCGTATCCCAATTGTGTGAATCGATGCTCATGATGTCAATCACTGGATTGTCTGGTCCAGACTCGATTTTTTACAGATCACTGTCATACAGCTGGAATATTGCTGAGTCGCCGCATTAAACAACTAACAAACAAATAAAACATGACTCTTCTAAAACCTTGGTGATTCGCTTCACATCAAAGATACGTTACACAACGGTCTGTGTGTTTCCATTTATTTTGGAGGTGAGCATCAGTACCCATCCCAATATGATTAATGCTGATAAGTAAAAAAATAAATATTCATCTTTCTGACCAGAAGAATACCTTTATGTCTATCCCTTGGGTATCAATTTCAGTGATTTCTTGTCACATATGAAATGCCTTTGAATGAAATAAGTGTAAAGGAAATATAGTGTTTCCTTGTCAAACCCACTTTTGAGGGACTTGATAAACTTGTCAGTGGATCTGAATCTCCCTATCTCATGAACAGCCGACTACTATGTTTCCAGAAAAATGTTTATGCTGTATTTCAGGATGAGAGCATGATGTTAGGAGATCTTATCTCAAGCTCATTGATAAATTTGCAGGAACGTTTGTGTACGGTCCGCCCAAGATGCTGGGATAGGCTGTCTACAACTGCAAGCAATGTTTCACTTCCAAAATTAAATATTGTGACATGCATTGAATTTATTTTATCGAAAGAGATCACGCCACATGAACTCATTCCAGGAGGACGTTTTTTACGTTAGTTGATCACAGTGGGAGAGTGCTCCATTAATGTCTGATTTTTTTTTAGGCCACAGCAAATTTATTTTTTCATTTAACAGTAAATGTTCTCCTAAATTTGGATACATTAAAAAAGAATACATGACAAATGTCTACTTATGCTGTTTCCTTGAGAAATAGGTTTGAACATCTTTATTTTATTAAAATTGCACCTCATATAAAGCCTTCCATATATTTTTATTCATATCTGTTTTTTTGCTTCATGCCAACTGGCAAAGTAAATCAATAAATACAGTTGGTGTGTCCTGAATCTTGCTCAAACATTATATCATGACTTGGGTCTACATCATCTAACTGCCTAAAAAGAGGGCGCCTACTTTTGATGTTTAATGGGTACATTTTTATTATTGCTTAGCTTACAGCAGAATGGCTCACCTGTTCTAAACTATAATGCACTAATGCTGTTGCTGAAAGGGTCAGTATCATACGTATGTTATGAATTTATGACCCCTGAGTGTTTATTGTAAACACTTACAAACACTATGAGGTTTTGTCCAAACCTTCAGGTATGTAATAAACATATAAGCACTCCTTAAGTGTACTCAGTTATATTAAGATGGCATATGGCAGTCGTATAGTTACTTATCACCCTAAGACTGTTGATCCCCATTCCGTATTACGCACTTAGAACTTATATCCCATGTATTGAATAAAACTCTATATACCATGATCAAAGCCACTTCGATGTCTTTTATGTTCCCTCCGTGGGAAACGAAAATATTTTCAAGTAAGAGCCTTACAAGTGTTGAACAAAAGCTGAACTTGCTAACAGTGTATTTATGTGTGTGCCCACTTTGTGGTACAATGGCTGCTCCAACCTTACGCCACCTCGCTGAAATAACTAGCGCGTTAGGACTGCCTGATTGTCGCGCTATGCGTCTTTGTCTGCAGGCCAGACTGTTCGGCCAGGCTCCCTCAACCATGTCAGTAGCTACCTGGCAAAAATATTTAGGTCACCAGTGTCCCTTGAAAAAACTTCCTGTCCGATCTTGTAACATATTGCCGACATTTTTGTAGCATTTAAAGAATTACCACCCAGCTCCGTAAATAAACAACATGCAGTGTGTGTATTGCAAAGTAAATGGTATTTTCGTGTAAAATTGACTGCTTTTAACAATTGAGTGTTTTGCATTGTACAGCCTATCACAACATATAATTTGCGCTCAGAAAAATTCCATGGATTGTTCACCAGAGTCCTGGCTTGAGGACATTGTAAATCGAAGAAACATTTTGCAAGTTGGCAAAATGGACAAGTGTGGTGTTGTGACCTTATTTCTTTGAATTATTATTTAAGTAGGTAAAGTGGGTGTGTAATTATTGCTTTTGTGTTATTCAGAAACAAATCAGCTGGAAGACCCAAGGTTACAATGGCGCAAAGAACAGGAATTGATGCTAAAGGACTATCTTGTCACAGCGCAAGAAGATCTGGAGGTGAGCAATTAGGCTGAGAATTGTTTGCACTTCCACTTCCACCTTGTATCCTTGCACTTTGTGTGCTTCACAAACACTTCCCTATTGATACAGGCTTGACACCATCAGTGATGAAAGTGGAGTGATGTTACGGAGATAAAGTAGATCGCTGAATACAAATACCGCCTTCATAATGGACATCTCCCAACTCCAGAAATTTGAAGGGTTGATATTCAAAATCAACATGAGCCATTTGGAATCCACAATCTTGTGGTTTCAAACATGACCCTGATAATTTTTTTGACATTCTTATAAATAACATGACAAGTTTTTTGGCAGAAATACATTTAATAAAATTTTCTGAATGTTACTTTAAGCGCTATGAAATCGGAAGCACATTTTAGGCCTTTGGAATGTGGAGAGTACTTGTGGGTGATCAAAGTTTGAAGGATGGTTGTGGGTTTGAATCCCTGAAGATTATAGACAGAAATCACTGATCTCATCACTATGGCTGAAATATTGCCAGTGCGACTTTAAGATTACGCCTCTCACTCACTTACACACTCACTCACTCCAACACTCACTCACTCTCTAGGTAGTATAGATATTTTTAATGATTTTGTATTTCCTTTTGATACCTAATACTTTCAATTTCAAATACATTTTCTGAATTACACAGATTTCCTAAAATTCATAAATACGGTGATGTGTCACTTTAACACGCTGCAACAGAAGAGGAAATAATCAAATTAACTTACTTGTTTGTCGTGATGTAACCTTTGCCGTATCCACTGATGGAAGTGTATGGAGATATTATTGTTTTTGATGAGATGTAATTATTGACTAACCTCCGGTAGAGCCTAGAACACAGGACAAGTGTGAGGCCTGCCATTGATCAGCGGCCATCTATCTTGTGGGGCTGACATTTTGTGATGTATGTGTGTCTCTGTTCATGGTGGGACTGACAGGCAGCCAGATCGGGGGGGGGGGGGGGGGGGGACAATGGAGCAGTTTCATTCATCACACTTACATTTTATATGTTGTAAACAAGTCTCGTACACATACATCGTGATATAATTGAGATTGTTTGGAGTTACTCACTCCCTCTTGGATATGTACACTGTCATATAATTTTTTAATGCAGAGTTTACATGATATTAGGGCTTTTCCATTGGAAGAGAGGTCGGTCATATGACCGTAAAACTGACGTTCATAAGTGTTTGAATGAAGGATTTTTGCGTTATACGTTTTTCACGAGACTGTTTTCCACAGTTGACCTATTCCACATTTCTGGAGAAACCCGTGGTATATTCCCTAGCACGAAGAAATACAAAAGCATTATTTCTGATAATTTAGACGCTTTCATCTTGATCTTTGCATTTTAGCATAGATTGGGATAAAGGTTTTACTGAATGTTCGTTAAAAAATAACCTCACTACGACCCATTCTAGTTAATAAAACGAAGAAATGCACATCCAGACTAGGTCTATGGACTCAATCCGCGTCTCGTCTGACAAGTGACAGTCCTCAGCAATCTATGAATTGACCTTATTATCTATTTAACACATCTGTATAATTACCTTTCAATGATCGGCCAATTGATCAATTGACTAAAACTTGTAATTGCCACAGGTTCATTAATAACTTTGGATATCTCTCCCGTCACGTTTATTGTGTCGGCCATTTTGACGTCTTGTGTTTGATGTTAATGTATTATGCCTCCCTGTCACTGTGACTGACTTACTGAGGTAGTTTCAGACCTTTTTCATCTACTGATGATATTATTTGTTGTATCCAAACTATAAATGCTGTTCCTGTAGAGCCAGTTGAGCATATACGCTCATGTAACTACTCCTTTTGATGAACTTATTCTGCGTTACAGTTGGTTGGTGTTTAGCTGTCAGTGTAATAATGAAGTCAGTGTAAACATGAAGCTTGCAACGATGTTCATACAATGTTTTGCCCTCACTCTATCACTTAAATAACTGAGATTGTTTGGATTTACTCGCTCACTCTTGGAAACGTACACTACAGATTAAAGGATTGATGGTAACTTCGAAGTTGTTACCAGAACTCCAGTTAACTTTTTGAGCATTTGAGTTTGGTTTTTTTTACTCGAAGCTTTCTATTTTAATTGGGTTATTACATTTTTCATATTTATTCATCACACTATTGGTTTTTCCCCAAAATGAGTGAACATTTTAAGATTTACAAAAAATGAAATAATGTTTTAGAGGTAACAGTTCTAAATATATAGGATTGACTCGGAAAGTAAATTAGCTTGTAATTGTGTTTTGTAAATAATCTCCTTTGTACGCATGCTGAAAAAGCTTTATTGAGTATTTTTGCATGCTGCTTTTATACATGTGAGTTTTTGAATTAATACATGCGTTTCTGTATGCAAGTTAATTTAAAGTAATTGGGTTTTGAATATTTTTTGTGGGAGTATTTTACGCAAATACACTGCTTATCTGTAGCTCTGTGTAACAACATGGTCAATGATATTGTCATATACTAGTACAGGGGCATCAATTAGATGTGTTAGATATTTTTTATCAATATTGAAGAATTTGAAGAATATGCACATTATTCAGCCGCCACTTGAAACTTGCAAACAGCGCCAAAAACGTGTGTCTACCAGACAAAGTTTTAGTGTAATGTTATGTGACTGTTGTTTGCAGAACCTACTTGTGAGCAGTGGTCAGATGTAACAAATGTTATATTTGGGATAACACTTTCTTAGTAAAGCACAGATTCTCATACTTTTTGGATTGAGTCCCATCCCGTAGAACTGACTTGACCAAACAGAATTTTACAAGACTCAGACAAGTGTATTAGATTGCAGACTGTTTATATATAATGGTGACTAAGGCTGAACAAACCAGTATCATCCTGTTAGATGTCTGTGCTTGTGTATTCAGACACAACCAATTGCCATCAGCCATTAAGCCCCATTGTGAGAGGCCCACCCCTTTCTGAAGGAACCTGAACAGTGGTGTGGGCGATAGCTTCAGGGTGACGACTCAAATGTAGAACTGAAAGGATGTGTTTAACTTCTGTGCTCATAAACACCATTAGAATGTTTCTCATACTTCTTTCTACCTGTCATACATTGTCAAAGAACATGTAGATCCAATGGGTAATGTTATTTTGATTATTCAATATTTGTGAAGCTGGTTAAAGTATGCGAGAGGGACAGGTTTGAATACTTTGGTTAGAGGCATGTGTGTTTGTTGAATGTGTAGAGACATCCTAATGTCTGTTTTTAATTAGATTGCAAAGATCTCCCTAAAGTGGAAAACAGAAAAAATTGATGATGAGCAGGTGAAAGCATGCGGTTCACTGGGTGGACATCCCTATTTCAGACATCTTGTTTGTCATGTGACATTTTTCATTTTGGTACTCATCGCTCCAAAATGGGTGGCTGATCGTGTGGTCAGACCTGTGACTTGGTAGGCGGTGTGTCTTCATACCCCGACAGCGTGGATCGTTGCAGACAATATCAATCACTGGATTGTCTGGTCGAGGCTTGATTATTCACAGGCTAGCGTCATATAGCTGGAATATTGTGGAGTGCTGCGTTAGACGGCACACAAACACATACTTTGTGCCTCAGTAGGAGCCTTGCAAGAAGCTATGTGTCGGCAGGAATCGAGTAATCGGTGGATTTAATCATAACTGAATAAATTATTTGGTGAATGACACACAGCCATGGAGAAATGTGGATTGACTGTCCCAAATAAAATAACATTTATCTCAACAAGCCTTGGCGTGGGATTTCAACACTATTCCAGTTGGGATTGATAAACTTCCCTGTGGCGAGAAGGTTCTTCTATTTCTTCTTAGGTGATACGTAGTCTAACATATGGGCTTGTGATACTGGGTATTTGATACCATTTGTAATACAACTGTTGTTTACCTGGAAGCATTCTTTCCAGGCCAAGAAGGAGATATATGCTGATACTATTTGCAGTACAACTGTTGTTTACCTGTATCACTTTTTTCCAGGCCAAGAAGGAGATATATGCTGATACTGTTTGCAGTACAACTGTTGTTTACCTATATCACTTTTTTCCAGGCCAAGAAGGAGATATATGCTGTGAAGGAGCAGCGACTGATGCTGGCACAGGACGAGTTCCTCCACCTCAATGAGACACTGTCGGGATGGAAGTCCTCCAGAACCAGTTGTAAGTAGCCATACTGTTTCTCTCATGTACTGGGGGTCGGGTGGGCAGGAGAGGCCCAGTCTCAGTTCACTCTGTTGCTGGCTATGGAACCAATGAAGCCCATGATCATGGGTTCGAATCCGGGTTTGTCTGCACCATACCCAAAGTGGTAAGCCTTGAAGACCTGTACAATTCAGGCTTTCTTCCGCTGATCTATACCGAAACGTCGCCATCGAAATATCAAAAAAGTTGTTATCCATAAATTGTGTCTACTTGGTCATCTGTCAACTTCTAAGTAATGCCTATCAAACAATTTCTCCCGCTTACACACCATGTTGGAACTGAAATAGTGTTCAAAGCAGTGTTCAAACCCCAACTGATTCACTCACTCATACACAGTGAAGACTAGCTTTAAGAGGTGAGCATAGATCGTCGGTACATCATGCTTGTCAGAAGGGCCAGGTAATGGGGATTGGTTGGTGGGGGTCTTTGACATGGTTGATCGCTTGATGACGGGGCTCATTGGTTGTGCGTTCAGACCTGGCTTACCTGGACCAGATTTGATTATGTACTGGCTTCTGGGATAGAACATTGCTGACTGACTGACACTCTCTCTCTCGCACTCACTCACTCATTTGTTGCATCTTCAAAAATACAAATCTGAAGTTGATGGGCTACAATTTGACAAGATTGTAGTTAAATAAATTGATATTAGTTATGTAGTATCCGTTAAGGTAGCTGAGTGTTCACGGATGTCAAACCCGGGGTTCCATTCCCATGTGAACACGAAGTCCATTCCTCGTGTCTCAGCCATGTGATTGTGTAACTATGACATGAATTGCTGTAAAACCTCACTCACTCACTTGTCATTGGGACATAGCACACTTCAAGTCTATCGGACGTTGCTCTGTGAAATTTTATGCCACATCAACACTATTTCCTCGTTAAACAGCAGAAAGCCTTAAGTGCACTTAATTACACCGGGCTATAAATACTTGGAAGTAACATTGAAAAACAGAAAGCAACCATCGCCCACGTTAATAGGGAAGTAACAGTTCTCTGCCCGACAGCATCATGGGAAGAAGTTTCATTCACTGGTTATCAGCTTAAACTGAGGAATGTCCTGAAAAAAACAGCACTCAAGGCTGTACTTTCATGGAGGGATGCTGTAGATCTTTCTTGAACAAATATTTTGTTCAATTTTTTTTTGAGCCAGGGATGAGCTTGTTCATCATTGGAAATTAACCAGAAACATTTTCTAATCTGAATAGTCCTATTAAGGAAATCCTTTGACCGTGGTTCCTTGCCTTAGGAAGCCCTCAACTTTTGATTTGGGTGAGGACTTGTGTGAGTTCTATCAATGGTTGCTACTATACGGGGGTTGTCTTTAACAGGTGTCTGTCTAGACTGCCTATTTAGCATGCTGTGTCTAATGAGAAAACTGTCTCTTTAATTATGACATCCAAGTTTTGCCAAGTTGAAGGAGGAGAGTGAAGTGTTAGACTAATCTATGTGGCAGTCAGGACCATCTTTAAACGAGCAAAACATTGTTCTTCAAACCAGTGCTGGTAAACATAAGATATGACTACAAACAGGAACTACAACCTGATCCTGACTATTGTTTGTTTTCATGTTGCGTAGTACCTATTCCAGAATTACTCCTGAAATATGTGCGCCCATAATAAGGTCAACTAGCCACCTGATATATATAAGAGAAACAAGCGGTTTCTATTTCCGTCTGATGTTGCACATTCTTGAAGCCGCCAGTGATGGATGGTGTGCTGTGTTGGTCAGCCTAGATACCACTGGACAGGAGAAATGTGGTCAGCTATGCAGGGAATCCCCCTCATGGCTAGACTTGCAGCAAGGCTCCATCTGTATTTAGTCAAGGAGAGTTGTGTTTTCCATTTTGGGATTTAAAGTTGTAATCAGCTAAATTTGTATCAGAACTGGCAACATTGCAGATCCTTTAGCAGGAGATCAGTATCAACAGTAGCTTGTGTCTTCATATGAAGGAAGATGAAATGAAAGGAAGTTACAATGTCCAATGGAGCTGTATCATCAGGCTGGGACCATATGAGGGAGACATTAATTCTTCGTAGGATTTTGAAATTAGCCTTGTTACTTCTGGTGTTTCATTATAACTGGTTCTGTTGCAATTGATCTTTTGAAATTACTGAAGCAGGATAACGAAAAACAGGTGACTTTTACAAAAGTGTATCATGCATACTGAATAGTACAACTTATGTTATTGGGAGTTCTAGGTCCCGTTCCACAAAGCGATCTTAGCGCTAAGGAGATAGTAACTCCCATTACTTTAACACAGGCTTCCGATAATCATAGTGCTAAGGTCGCTTTATGGAACGGGCACTCCATGATGGGTTTGAATCCCAGATAAGCCCTGATTAAGGTCTGTGGTCTGTCTGCACCATACCCTTGCTTGTGGGTATCACAGAAGTCACTGGTGGATGGGTTATTCACTGGGTGCCCATCCCTTTTTCAGATACCTTATTTGTCAGCCTAGCATGTGGTTTTGATCATGTCATCCCTGATCCCTCCAAAATGAAACGCCTTGTGTGGGATCTGGTTAGAATAGGTACCCATAAACCTCTGCTAGTTGTCATAGGCAACCATGTGGATCAGGTGGTCGGGCTCGGTTTGGGTTTGGTTGATAGTTGTTCACAATATCAGTCACTGGGTTTCCTGTCCAGACTGGCTTATTTACAGGCCACTGTCATATAGCTGGATTATTGCTGAGTGTGGTGTTACACAAAAATCAATAGAATTTAACTGACATGCCGTGATATAAACTGAAATATTGTTAAAATCAATGCTAAACCAAACTCACTCACTCACTCGTTTTGATGATCACCGACACAATAAAGTCTACATACTGTTTCCCTGTGGAGTTCTTATCTTTGTGTAGGAAGTGTCAGACTGTTTATTGAGCACTGATATATCCAATCGCTTTAACTCTAGCAGTGTCAAATCTTTACCTCTCTTTAACTAGAAGGAGGCTTCCCCCGACACACATTAAATGGTGAAAAGACCCATTGAGATGATACTGTTATGAAGGGAGTCCTACACCTATCTCAGGTTTGATAACCCTTAAAGTGTTTGTTGGAAGTGAGCGTGGGGTCAGAGGCGAAGGGGTTAATGCAAAGATGCTACTGCTATCTCGACTATTACTGGAATGTGCTAATGGATGAAAAAACATATTTTCGCTTGGTTTACCATGGTTCTCAGAGGCCAATTCTTCTGGCAGTCAGTTGCTTTGGGGGCTGGGTGGCCGAACAGGCTTAAGCTCTGGCATTACTGTTGTGGATATTTATATCCTACCTGTTGCCTAGTCAGAGATTTATATTCTCAGGGTTAGGATTCATTAATATTGGCCAGCTGTAATGAGACCGAAGGGTTTAGCAAGCCAAGTCTGTTAAAAATGTTGGTAATCAGATAAGTCTCACAAGATGCGATGCATTGCTTCTTAATTGGTTAGTCTGAATGGTTAATATCTCAGGATTAACATTTCATGTGCAAGAGTCTGTAAAGGATGAATGAGTGAGTTGATTTTGATTTATGCCGCATCAACATTCTGGCTGCAGTTTGACAAACATTTTTTTGGTCAGGGTTGACTACATGGTTAAGGAGTTGTTTTTTTACATGGAATCACCATGTGTCCTTCCATTGTTTTTTTTGGATAAAATATTCTGTTGCATATTACAATATCAATGTATCGTGATTCTGTAAGAAATAGACAAAGTGAAATGAATACAAGCTACGCTGAACTAAAAAATGAATGACAATTTGACCAAAATCTGTTAAAGAAATATGCTGATGCAGTGTATATGGTTGTGCAGTAAGGTTGTGAGGCCTCTCTTTTAGTTGGTTGAATGTGGGCGGTTTGTTAAAAAAAATGATCTATAAATTATCATGTACTTTGATACAATCTGAACAGAAGCGACACAAGAGTATGGCATTTCTGTGTGACCTGACCATTCTTGAGGGATGTAGATTTTGGCACACTTTCAGGAATGTTAAGTTGTATATTGTTGATAATACAATATGTTTCTAGGGATATAGTTTTAACTTGATTGTTAAGTGCTCCAATTAATGTTTAGATCCCATAGTGCAGTTATGATTAGTTGTGTGTAACAGTATTTATTAATTTAAATAGGCAATACTTATCAAGAAAACAAGTTTTCTGAAAGAAGCACCTGTTTGATGTTATCAACTATATTGCCTAATCAATCTAATGATATTCTGTTATTGCAAACTGTTATTGTTCCATAATGCTTATTAGTTTCTGGATGTAGGATTGGCCAGATGGCATGGTCTGACACAACGCCACCTGTTCCATAGAACAAAATCAGAATTTGTCTTGATGCAAGATTATTGGGTTTCCTGATATTGTTACCTAGAGGAGGATTGTGAGGTGGTCGCTCAAACTGTTGTAGGAAGATGATTGTCAGGACAGAACACACTCTGAGATAATTCTAGTTTTCCCAACCTCCTGGCTTTCTAGTGCAGTAGTTTCAGCTTCAGCCTGACAAATACCCAGAGGCAGAAAGTTGGTGAAACATTAATTGTTGAGCGATATGTATTTGTTTGGGTAGGGGGCGGTCGGGTAGCCTAGTGGTTAAAGCGTTCGCTCGTCACACTGAAGACCCGGGTTCGATTCCCGACATGGGTACAATGTGTGAAGCCCATTTCTTGTGTCCCCCGCCGTGATATAGCTGGAATATTGCTAAAAGTGGCGTAAAACCATACTCACTCTCTCACTCACTGTTTGGGGGAGAGGGGCACTTTATGACAGCAGCCTGTAAATAATCAAATCTGGTCCAGACAATCCAGTGGTTGATATCAGGAGCAACTTTCCACAATTTTGGAGTACAATGGTGTATGGCCTAAGTCACTGAATGTGGCCACCTCATTTATAAGTTTCCTCCTGCCAACTAGCTTAGGTTGCTGGGGAACAGGGCGGTCGGGTAGCCTAGTGGTTAAAGCGTTCGCTCGTCACGCCG